AAGAAGTAAGCAATGTCCAAAACTACCCATCTCTGTTTCACACCAATGCCAGCAAGAAAGCAGGTTCTCATGGGGAGTTAGCTCAGCTGTGGCAGTGCCGGGGGTGGGGGGTGGGCGGGCATGAATGGGCCCTCTCTTCTCTCAGCTGAACAGGAACGGGGTTTGCTTTCTCTAGCATTTCATAGAAATAATCAGCCAGCAGCAATGACACCCATGAAGCCCAGCCCTGAAAACCACCATTCTTGGGATCATGGTGGTGTTTTATCCACTGGCATAGCATCACTGCTGTCTGGCTGTAGATGGGGAGACAGAGTGGCCACTGGCATCCCCCCTGCTGCAGGTAGGTCTCAGCAGCATCAGCGCAGGATGACCAGGTCCCACAGTCATCCCATCCCACTCGGTTAGTACGACCAGATTCCCCTCCAGCACAGAGGTACAGCACACTGTGGCAGCCGTCAGACAGGCTGAAACCCTGCCAGCCGTGTTTCCCCGCCAAAAGGTGTCAGGTGGCCGCCCCATCTCCCCTCTCTGATCATTACTTCCATTTATCTTCCCGACGAGCGCAGCACAGGTATAACATCTCAGTATGTGCTTTGAAATCAATGCAAGGCCAAAGCAACAAGGAGAAATGTTGCAAGAGAGAGAAATCACAGTGCTGCCCAAATCAAACACTGAGCTTGGTGAAATTCCTGCCCAGGTCATAAAAAGCAACCTCTGCAGCTCCGCTGCCCCGGGATGGATTGATGGTCTATTCATGTCACAGGGGGTTAGGGTGAGAACAGCCTGGGGTTGTTTATGATTTTGGGGCCCCTTGGACTGTTCAGTGGGCTGTCACCTCTGTGACAATCATCCTTCTGTGAATTTGCAAAGGCTTCATGGGAAAAGGAAAGGCTTGTGAGGGGTTGAGCTGGGAGATGGGTTACTCTGCTGTCTCATCCTCTCCCCACCCAGGCGGAGGAGCAGCTACAAAAGCCCTCTGAGCATCTCTCCCTCTTTCAGAAATGCCTTTGGCTCTGTCAAGCAAGCTGCACTTGGGCAGCCCCCTTGAGCCCTGGCTGCATATGAACAAAAGCAGTCTGAGTCTCACATTCACGTGCTGCCCACTATACTTAGGAGCAGCGTTTCACAGGTGCTGATACTGCCAGCTGGTTTGCAGCACAGCAGCATACATGCCTCTGACCTACGGGACATGGGGAACACGTGCCTCGAGAGCTTGGCCCCTTCCCCATGCAGCACCCTGCCAGGCTGCTGGGCTGGCTGTCAGTCCCTTGGCAGAGTGGGTCCCCAGGACACTCACCTCTTATGACCAGTCCCTCTGACAGTAGCAGCAGGTACCCCAGCGCTGCTGGGGAAATTTGTGTACTTATGAATCCAATATCCACAATGGTCAGACCCAACTCTGGGACACTTGCCGAACTAAAGAAGAATGATTGCTCAGTGTTAACTGTCTGCTCTCCATCCTCCCTTTTTTTTTTTTTTTAAAGACATCCTTAAGCATATGGGAAAGACAAAAAAAAAAAAAAACAAAAAAAAAAACAATAAAAAATCCCACACTTAAAAAAATTGAACCATACATTTTGTAGGCAGAAAAAGAAAGAAGTCTCAGCATCATTTTTGCTCATGGTATGAGGACATCAGCAGCAGAGGGAAAGCCTGTAACGTTTCAGAAAACCAAGGACCGTAATGCTGAGGTTAACCTGCTCTTCCTGTCTGAGCTGAGCACCACTTCCTCCCTCTCAGCCTATCAGCAGGGTTAAGAACTAGTGGCTGGAGAGAGATGCTGCTGTTTACCCTGAAACCTTTCTTCTGATGTCTGGCATCCAGAGGGAGCTGGGCAACTCTTGTGATTCCCACAAGATCCAGAGTAAAATGTGGCCAAACGAACAAACAGGTTCTGTGGAAGCTCTGACAGTCAGTCTCAGACCTTATTTAAAAAAAAAAAAAAAAAAAAAAAAAAAAAAAAAGAAAAAAAAGAAAGAGAAAGAAAATTTGCCTCTGATTTTGTAAACATTCTCCCCATTGGACACAAATACTCACTCACTTTAGATGTCCAGTTCTGAATTTGCCTTCATGAGTTCTCCACTATTTTTCATCATCCCTTCCAGCAGCTATCCCAGAGTTGGCTTCTTATAATTCAGAGCATTTTAAACTGTGGAAAAGGAAAATGCAGGTACCTTTTGGCAATTAAGAAAACAGCAACATCAGTGCATGGAGATATGAAAACCAAGAGAAAGGAGAGCCAGGAAAACAAGGGGCAGCTCTATAGCAGGGCTATTTTGTGCCACTTGCAAAGACAGCTGTGGAGGGAGGGTGTAGCCCTGCCAAAGGTATGTGTATGGATGGAGGGCAGCGTGTCCAGCTCTTAATGTGCAAATCTACACATACTGGTACTTAAATATGATTAGCTCTAACAGACTTGTAAGAAAACCCTAAGAAAACGCAGCAGGTCTGCTTTCCAAAGAGCCAACATTCGCTGAGGTGTAGTTGCCCAAAACAGTCTGATTTTCCACATTGCTGTGCACGGTCTTCTAGCTGCATGTTGGTAAAACACAGAAATAAATTGCTCGGCTTTGTAAAGTACTGGGGGGTGAAAATGTAAGCTCATTTTGACTTATAATGAATTATTACCAAGATAGGCAGTAGCCACATTAAGAGTGATAACAATGAGCTGGAAAAACTAGATCGTGCTGAGACTTTTCTTTTTTGGACAAGTTCACTCACTGTTGCTTTGAAACCAGCAATGCTGGTGCAGCAAGAGGATTTCTAATCAGTCACTATTGCATGATTATTTATTTTAATAGGCGTGATCAATACCATCCGCTCCTCCTTTAAATGCTAATGAGCACTTTAATATAACAGATGTGGACAGACAGTACATTGCCGATTAAAATTAGGCCAGCATTAAATTGCTTACAAACAGCAGAGGAATCCTGCTGGACATCTTGACAATCAACGACAGGCAGCTGAATTGCCACCACCAGCCCACAGCGTCTGCTGGGTAGGGCCTTGTTTTCAGGCTTGTACAACTACACCACCATCCTCATTACCCTGGAAGAGAAATGTACCCTTCCAAACTCTTGCAATTTCTTTCTATGATTTGTGCAGGCCTAACTGTGAAACAAGATCTCGCTTCCTGAGATGCATATCCCAATTTAAATAACACAAGCACATTTCTAGCAAGTGCTTTCAGCTGCGGTTACTATCAGCTGGTATCCTCCAGCCCATTTTGGTCATGGTAAGAAATGTTAGAGAAGGATCCCCAACCTAGACAAAATCCCAGTCTCCTGGTAAGTTGTGGCAGAGAAACATCCAGCGGTGGATTGTCCATGTCCCCCAAATTAGTTGTCATGTTCAGTAAACCAGGGCCAGAAGCTGGCTTACTAATTAGCTTTCAACCAGTTTGCAGCCACAAGAAAGCGGCAAGCTTTGTTATCACAGAGCTTCATGTGCAGCCTCATTCACTTCCAGGTAAAGCTTCCTACTGTTTTTTCTGCTCTTAACTGTTGTCAGAGGAAAAGCTGCTTAAATGACAGAGATCCAATTCCTGACACCTGGTATCAGTTGTGTCCTGTGCCATTGGTTTAGTGGACCCTGTCCTGAATTAATGAAATGTGAGTCCCAGTTCACTCTGGTAGGTATTGGGAAACCCACGATGGGGCACAGCCCTCAATGAGGCTGGTGGGTATCAGAGGGAGGAGAGCTGCATGTACCCCCAGAAGTGGCTTTGTGTGGAGCAGGAAGTTTACATGTCCTTTTGAACATCCAGCGACTGGGCTATGGTGATGGGGGTTATCAAGGGTGTGATACACCAGCAGCTCTTCCAGCATCTCTCACAACTCTGTGCCAGCAAGCACCACTTACCGTGGATGGTATGTAGCACCTTGTTCCAAGGCATTTCTAATTTACAGTTTCTTGGCTTTCAGAGGGTACCATGTGTTGCTTTGGGTTCAGCTTCCTTTATCTGTTTCTTCCTTTTTTTTTCTCCTCTTGCATCTTGGGAAACCCTAACTTTTTTCTTTTTTTTTCCTTTTTAATTGTGTGAAATCAACTTGGAGTGAAAGGCCAAGAAGAAACTTTCTGACGACAAGTGAGTCTACAGCTGTGTCTTTGTTCTCAGTGGAGCTAAAGACCACATTAATCAGAAACTTTGCTGACCTTGTCTTTACTACCCAAAGACTGAAAGACAAAAGCGACACAGTCTGGCCACATTTAAAAATTCAATTAAAAAATGCCTGCTGCCCAGGGATAAAGATTATCATAGCCCTCAGTGGGGTTAGATGCAACTATGATAAAAGCAATGCCTTTTCCTCCCTCTATTTTTATTTTTTCCCCCAAAAGAATAAAGCCTAGTTTTTGTTTCTCCAGATTATAACAACTGTGTATGTGACAGAGTGTGCTTGGTGGTGTCAAGTAGCTGGTGTTCAGGGCTTTTAATAAAGAGTGACATGAGAAATTCCTGAGAGGGGATGGCAAGCTGGAAGTGGAGAAGTGAGGCTACTGGAGTGGACCTGAAGAAAAATCTTCCTGTGTTCCTGTTTTTTTCAGATTATGCTCGTCTGATAAAAATACTGCCTCTTCCTATAGCTCTGCCAGAAGCAGACTGAACAAGGGGTGAGCAGGCCCCACTCAGAGCCGGACTTCGTGTCTGGAGGCGTAAGTGAGGCAAAGGGAG